AATTTGCTTCTGCCAAAAATGTTAAAATTGTAGATAGTGGATTATTTATAGATGAACTACACCCATACCTGGGTGCTTCTCCTGATGGTATGCTAACCTTGTATATTTTAATGTAATTATTATACATGGTTATCCCTCAGGTTTGCTAGGAGAGGATTCAATCGTGGAGGTGAAATGTCAGTATAAACTGCAAAAGATAAGAAAACATTATTAGAAGCAGCCCAGTCATCAAAAAGTTATCCAAGCTTTTGTCTTCAATTGAATGATGCAGGAAAATTACAACTCAAACGCAATCATAATTATTATTATCAGGTGAATATTATAACCTATTATTTTGTTATTTACACAATGTTTCAGATACAGGGACAATTAAACATATCTAGGAAAAGTTTATGTTTTTTTATTGTCTATGTGAATGATGAACAACCATTACATATTGAAATCATTCAAAAAGATGAGGTGTTTTGGAATGATGTGATGCTGCCGAACTTGACTACCTTTTATTTAGATTGGATGTTGCCTGAAATAGTTAACAAGTTATGATTACATTCTGTCTATATTAACTATTACCTATTATAATAACAGTTCTTACAAAGTCATTATTTATTGCATAACCATGCTTGTACATAAAGTTAACAATAAACTTTCTAGTCATTTTACATAGTTCCAATTTTTGTACACAGTAAGAGACAACATTTTGTATTGTTCCAATAGTGCTGGAATCTGGTACACATCGTCTTGCAACCTCTACACTGATCCTCCGGAAGCCGTTTCTTTGCTGCAAACGACTGCCGGCTTCTCTTGGAGATCAAGGTTCTCCATGCCCTGTTGATGGCGCTCATAGATAATCCATCTGATACTATAGTTACGCATTTTTCAAAGTCGGGCCAATGAAGTTCTTGTAGCATGGATACTTTGTACGGGTAGAAATGCAACTTTTCCTCGCTATTTTCTCACAGGTGCCATATGACGGTTTTTGCGGGCTTTGTTCAAGATGAGCAAACACATCTAAATACTACTGCCTCGTTAGCTACTGTTGGGCGACCAGGAGATTTTCTCGAAGCAACACTTCCTTATCGTCAAATCGGTTAACTAACAATGAGTGTGGCGACGTAAGTTCTCATCGTCCACATCATGTTCAGGATAGGCCTCCCGAAATTCCTCCATCCACAGGCGAGTCGAATACGTCCAAACTGTGTTTTCTTCTTTACTACCATTACGGAAATAGCACTTCAAAAGCAGCTTATTTTCTTCCACAATAAAAGGCATGCGGCAATCTTGTAATTATTGCTTGCTAATTGGTAGCTTTGACAAAGACTGTTTTGTAAAACCAAAAGATGTAGGCAAATGGTTGTGGAAACCGGAAATAAACGTTTCGAAAGGGAGGTGGCAGGAGAGTTAGATTTAGAGGTTATGGTTAGTATTGGTTCAGCTTTATATGCGATGCGGCAAATGATTACTAAAATCATGTTTCATAAGAGCGGTACAATTTCGATCGCGTTGTACATATTCACCTTTCTATTTGAGGAAACTAAGTAGGTACTACTACCTGTTTAGTTGAAAACTTGTCACCCAAATGGGATAATATAATACAATGTATTTTATTTACATCACACAAACATTAGTAAATTCACGAAATAAAATATTTTGAATTGCAACGCCCTACATTGGCGCCACGTTTTCCTTGCGGCAGAAGTATTGAACTAAAAATGAATATGGCTGTTTGAAAAGTAAGTGGTACTGATTTTCTATAAATCTTCTGAAGTATACAGTTTCTACCGCTTATTTTTAAACTCAAAGCTTTCTGGGTGATGGTAAATGTATTAAAATAATAACAACTCTCTACGCCATGAAAAAAAAATTCATGTTATTGTCGATTTTCTTTTTACTACTAAAAATATTTCTTATATAATGTATATCATTGCATTCTGTACTAATACATTTATGATATTCGAAAAGAAATTCGACAAATAGTGCCATAAAATTTGAAATTTATAGAAAAAGGGTGCAGGTTGTTTTGAACTACTATTCAATATGGCGCCGTAGCCTAACGCAGCCTTAAGGTGCGAGCATTGAATAAAGATTTATTATTCAATGGTGCGAGTCACTGCTTATTCGATGGCTACAAGTGAGATAAGAAGACGTGATCGACGTGTTTTGTACATGGCCACAAAGATAATGAGATTTCGTGTTATAGATAGTCTAAAGTCGAGCAAACACTTGCAACTTGCATAATATTAGCAATTCTTACACTATGATATTAGATACTAGCAGTGACATCGAAAATCGATAGTTCACTAAAGAAACTATGGAACCATTGAATAAAAATAGTGTTTTTTATTCAATGAATCCTTCACGCGCCATATTCCTAATTCTGTTCAGTACTGGTACCTATACTCGAAACAAGAGTTATTTTCTATGAAACCGACAGTGTCTCTTACCTTAAGTGCATCGGAAACATATTGGTTGCCATTGTTAAAATATATCTATAAGTTTCTAAACAATGTACCAGGTGGTACAGACATTCCGGAAGAAATATTTGACCTATGAATGCAACAACAAGAGCCGAGTTAGTTAACGCTGATACAGTTATTTGTTGTTCATATTTAGGTAGATAAATTGATTGATACAATTATAAATGGTTTGAATTTGACAGAGCCATTCGGAAAATATCGAATTATAGATTTTTTTCGTCAATTCCAACATTGAGGTAGTATTCATTGCCATATGTTACTATGGCTAGAAAACGCACCATTCGATATAGAGAAACGATTGAAGTTAAACTGCGGGCAAGTAAAATTGCAGCAAATACGTGTCCTCCGCAGACAATAAGTCTAAAGCCACATGGAATCTTATTAAGAATAAGAGAAATAAAAAATAAATAAATAAAATGTTTCAGAGAAATATAAATGCGCAATTGATCCGAACAAAATGAATAGTTTTTTTTCAGTAATATTGCCAGTTATTCGATACCAAACTATACTCTGTTTTTTAACTAGGAAGACGGATTTAAAAGTTCCCGCAAAAAATCTTAGTTTCTATTGGCTCGCGCTGCGCCCGTTTTACACCCAGGAAAAATACTATTGACATGATTTACCTGTCAAATTTAATCGCGATTCTCATCCTTAACTGTTGTACTTATTTTTGAGTTTTCGTGTGTTCCCAGTCCTTTTGCATAAATTTTAACAAAGTAAAACAGTTCTTTTAAGAACTAAAGTTGATATTTCGCGTCCTAAGTGTACTGGCATTGGTGATGGATTCAACTCCAAGTACCAGTAAAGCAAGCTTGTCTCCTTTGAAAAAACGTTGTCGCTTAAACTTAGGTCATTTTATCAGTCTCCGAAAAGCAGTTTATTATAAACACTTATACACAAATGTTATCTGATACTCCGGATATGAATTTTGCTACGCTTGTGTTGAAGATTACATCTACCACAGGTAACGTAAATAATGATGTAGGTATATATTTGGTTATTAAAGTATGACACATATTAGGAGTTGCACGATCAACAGTATACCGGATAATTAAAGAAGATCGAAGTACTGGGATTGTTACCCCTTCGAAACGTTCCGGTGGTCATAAGGCTGTTGCAAATGTGAGCTCTGACGATTGGCGGAATTGTGTGCAACACGTTATTAAGGAAGAAAATAAGATGTGTAAATTGGATGGTCTAATGCATACACTTATAGAACCATTAATTATTTCACTCGGATCGGAGGACAGTGACAGTTTTAGTGAACTTTCGGAAGACAGTGTCTAAATCGCTTATACATAAAACAGTGAACTGTGCTGTTTAATAATATGAATATAATTCCATTGCTCGGAATTTGTTCAATAACTTAACATTTGTTGTAAATTGTAATGTGGATTGTGTAGTATTACAACTGATAAAACATTTAAAACTACAATTCAAAACAATGTTTCAAAGGTCAAAAAATGTATGCAGCATTATTACCTATTATCAATGTATTACCTATTTATTATAATTCATTCATGCATAATATAAAGTAGTTCCTATCAAATAATAACCCAAAAGCATAAATAATGAAATCTATCCAAATGTGAAAGAAAAATACATCACGCAACACACAATACATGTCTGTATAAAATGAGTCTATTATTTTTGTTACTAGATTCTAGTGACATTTTCAGTGTAAATCAGGTTTTTAAATCCGTCTTCCTAGTTAAAAAACAGCGTATAGAGACCCTTTGTTTAAAATTTATGCCTTATGTCAATGTAGTTAAAACCACTTTTCCGGTTTAACGAAGTTTCTTTCAATGATGTGAGACAATTTCAAAAATGAGAAATCATAAGAGCAAGGACTGCTTTGGACTAAAAACAATTATCACTGTACCTACCCCTTACGAAGTTATTAATGCGTGTACACGAACTAATACTTGAGGATCGTCTATTCAAAACCAGACATGTCCAGTAAAACTAGTTTTGAGAAAATCACGAAAAACTATTGTAGCCGTGTTTTTAAAATTTATTAAACAATTGTATACTGCATCGGCCTTTTGCCATCGATAAAATGCTTTTCTAGATATCATTGAATTTTTTTGCATCAAAATGCCCAATTTTAGGGAAATTTTGGATTGGACATGTCTATGTTTGATCAGTCATGATGGACATGTCTAGTTTTGAACAAACGCTCATATGGACGTATCCTATTTTGTTCGACACATACTAGTCTTGAGGAAAATGAAAAGGAAGTGTGATGGTCGCAAGGACGTTTTAAATGATTTTAAATCAGGATCGGCCTCTGCGTACCTAATAATATTAACCAACATTTTCAACATTGCACGGAAAAGATGACAAAATCTTACCTCATGGTTGCCTTTGAAGCACGTGCGGATGTAGGTACACGTTTTTTTTCGTGATCCACTATTAATCTCGCCAACAGTATGTTCTTCCATTGATAAACACACTCAAATTCAATAAGATAAACCACAACCCACATAGCCACCGTATATACTTAGTAAATTCATAGTATGTGCGCCTTGGAACATCGCATGTGCATTGTAGGTGCAGTATTATAATGGCGCATGTGCAATGCACATCCATAGTACTACACATTTTAGCCACCAAAGTAGGTACTTAGAAGCTACTCAACGTATATACGATTGACGTTCATAGTATATTCTGTGTGATAATTAGCACATGCTACTAGAATATGCCTGGTATATACTCTGTATTATTACCTACCTACATTATGGGTGGGAATGTAAATAACTAAAGGGTGGTTGTCAAAAAATATATATTGCACAGTAAAATACATTATAAGATATGAGTATCTAATTATATCTATACCGTTGATTGTTATGTTGCTATTATATATCTGCATTGTTGATTACGTTCGCTTCTTTTTTCTGTAACCAAATAACAAAAATAATTAGCAAAGCACATTTGCAGATCAAAAGTATATGTTTAGGACAATTCATGCATGCATATGTACCTATATATACGTATGAGCGTGCATATATGTTTAACATATACATTCCGATGTATTTATGTAAGATTTTTGTATCATTTATATTATAAAGAGCTTACTTTTAGGCGTTCCGTCAACTTTACTAGATAATACTTTGCTGCCGCAATTATATCAGAAGATGTAGCATTAGATGTCTTCTGATTTTGACGCACAGATTCTGTAAATAACAGTTTTGTTATAAACAACCCCCAATTATTTTTATTAATACTTACCAATAATAAGTTGTGCAGTTCTTTCATATGAATTTAATGCTTTCTTTCCCTTGGCCCCTTTCCAGGAAAAACCTTTAGAAAATTCATCTGAAAATAGTTGTCGCATCACATTTCTTGTGGCATGTTTCACATTTTCACCTCCTTCTAAACCAAGCAATTTTGCCTAAAAGGAAAAATAAGATTTTTTTAAACTATAAATCATCTTACCGCTGAATCAAACTTCAGCTTCAGGAGCTCTTCAAAATCTACAAGTTGTTGAATTGTTTTTAATGGAAGAAATTCTTTAATATCTTTAAATACGTCTTCGTTAATCACATTATTAGCAGAAAGTAGAATTTGGCGATCCATTCCTTCTTGTAGTTGATCAATTTTCAGCTCCATTCTAACCACACGCCGTTGTAAATCTCTGAGTAAATTGAAAATTTGATTTTCAGTGTCGGTTTCTATTGAGAGATATACAATTAAGACAAAAACTAAACATATTAGCATTAGATTACCATGGCGAAACGTTTTACGTTGCAAATTTCCAGCTGATGATTCAAAATTTGTGGGAGTGTTCATGGAAGCATCTATGAAACACTGCAATAAAACTCAAAATATTGATCAACAAGTTTTTAATTTGCATACATCTTTCTACTGATTGCGTATTTGTGCGATCATCAAGTAATGTACGTCGTTGTGGGTGAGGAATTGTATTTCCATCGTAAAGATCTTGACCCGTACATTTTTTTGATTTAAATAAAATAAGAAACAAAATAAAATTTAAAAAACAGGGTTTGATTTGTTTTAATAAAATTAATTATTAGAAGCTTTAATTAAAAATTGTATCACATAAATATGTATTTAATTACAAGCTTACCATACGACGAATTGGTTTGTTTTTGGCCCTTCGCAGACAGAAGCGTTTTTTTGGTCCATTGAGAATGAACACTGTCATTCACTCTTAACGGCGGAGTTGCTGCCCTAGATGAACCACCATCACTTTGGTAGCTCTCGGAACTAGTTTCAGCTTCAGATGCATAACGTAGTGGAGGTTTACGAACTCGAGTATTTCCCGAGGTATTTCCAATTTCTTCACCATGTGATGAGACATTATCACTATTTGTACCACGTGCAGCACGTCTATCCGCTTGCGCAAAATTATCTGCAATGCCTACATTAATTTTGGAATGTGTATATTTAAATAACTTACCACAACGTGAAAGTATTTTAACTTTATAGCTGGGCCATGTAGATGAAGGTTCTACAGCAGTTTCGATCGCATTTCTAATATTTTTAACATCTTTAGTTGTTGGAAAATAGACTTTGCCGTGGTTGAATCACAAAAAAATGAATGACTCTGTGAACGGTTAGTTGCCACTGCATCCACTTCCAAAAGTGCAACAGCATTGTGAAGTTGTTTACGAATCAAATTTTCTTTTTTTTTGATCGATCCATACCAAAAACGAACTAAAAGGGAAATGAAAATCACAAACGCTATAGTGTCGCTATTATTGTCAACTTTCGTTATTTTTGAGTATTCATTACGTTTAGGTTGGTTTCCGAACAGTATTACTTACCCATAATCATTGCTCAAAACATAATAAGCACAGAATGCGTCATGAGCCGAAAAGATCCAATTGTTGGAAACGAGTACATGTACGTAAAATTGCAGTAAATATTAACTTGTGTCTCGTCTTCTGAGTAACGAATACTTTTACAAAAGAGCAGTCGTTCGATACACCGAGTACGCCAACAGTAACACACACTTAGTTTGTATGACATCATACTGCCCTACATATGCAGTAAATAAAAATATACCTCAAGCAGCAACTTGGAATTGAAATTGAAGAGAATAAAATGTATAAATGGTAGTAAAATTGGCCTAACCTAACTTAATTCGTCAGGATTCACTACAGCAACATAAGGCATCTTTAATGATATGATATTACAAAAGTGAGCTAAGTCGCATATGAAAATTAAACTCACCTTTACAATTAATTCAGATAACACCACACAAAAATTTAAAAGAAATTCAATGTGTGGCGACCATATTTGTTTATTGATGGAGTTGGAGAACGACAACGCGCTTTAGCCTTAGCCGTCGCGGTTTTGACAGGGTGCTTGCAGCGCCACACGTTAATAACATTGCGAAACGATCAACGCGGCAGTTTTAAATATTAATAACGTTTTGTTTTTATTCAAGTTTTTTAATAAGCATGTTTAAACAGTCGCATTAATAAATAAAATAGTACATAATCGTAACAGCGAGTTGCCGAAAATAATTTCTTATGTTGTTTATATGTTTTCTTAATATGCTTTGATGCAAAATTGTAAATGGCAATAATTGAATAACTGATTGCCAAAAAAAACAACATTATTAGCGCAAATGGCAAGGATAACTATGTGTTTGAAAACTGTTCAAATTTTGTACATAAAATGAAGCAAAACATTAAAAAAATGTTTTCACTAGTTGATATACTAAGTACCTACAGTGTACATTCGATCCATATCTACAATTCCAGTTCTAATGAGCATGTGCTATGCACATGCACTAAGGAATGTACTTTGCAACTGTATACTATGTACATACTATGAACGTACGGTATATCTCGTATCTACTGCGTATATACACAGCACTTGGTGTGCTATGTGGGAACTTCACCTGAAGAGCGCACTATTTATTCCTTTAAGCACTAATATAGCGGTGAAACAACACAACAAAATTTAACAGGTGATTAATTTTAGCGTATAGCTAATAGGTGGTGCCATCCACTGACGAATATTGCGACAATAATGCAAAATAAACCTATACAAAGGAATCTGCATCACTTAGGACATGATCAGTTATTTACAAATGCTATTATAAAAGTTAAGGACATGTCTAGTTTTGATCAGGTATTCACTTGCGAAGTTAAATAGTGGACATGTCTGATTTTGATCAAACGCTCTACTTTCGCTATGCATTTTACAAGGGACATGATCTGTTTTGATCAATTCAGTTACCACAGTCGTATTTAATTCAATAAAATCTTTCGGAAACAGTCGAAAAACGAAATTCATTCGAAGTTGGACATGTCTGGTTTTGAACAGACGCTCCTCACTTCTCCTAAGGTGCTATTGCGTCAGTGTTCCGATCCTAAAAAAAAGGGAATCAAACTGATAGGAACAATTATCGTCCAATTTCAATTATATCCGTATTCGCAAAAATTTTTGAAAAATTATTTGTTCCTTACCGAAATTCGTGTTTTTTTAAATTACTATTATTCATGCCAAAATTATTATATATCTCTTTTATTATGATTAAATGTACTTAACTTTAAATTTCATAATTTTGCAGATCTCGTGATAAATGGTAGTTGCGATGTCGTTATGGTGTCGGAGACTTGACTCAGCAGTGATAATGATGATCCAATCAGTATTTTTGGGTACATTCTGTTCCGTAGAGATAGAGATGGCCGTGGTGGTGGAGTCGCTATATACTCGTACATCGAGAGATGTTTTAACTATGCTGTACTGTGCTCTTCAGGTAGAATAGAGCAAATATGGGTAGGTTTACTGATTAATGATAAAAAAACTAGCACTCGGTTGTCTGTGCAGACCGCCACATTGTAATCTCTACTATTTTATATATGAGTTTGAGGAAACTTTAACAAGATTTATAGTAAGCCATGAATATGTCGTATGCCTGGGAGACCAATTTAAACCTATTAATGAATCATAACCCCGGGGTAGCATACTTAAACATTACATTGCAAAACGTTGAACTTTATCAATTGGTTAACACTCCTACCCGTGTTACGTATACAAGTAGCAGCATTCTCGACCTTATGATTATTTATTAATGATCAGGATCGTGTTTGTACATGCGACATAGTCCCCGTTAGTGACTTGGCTGATCACGACGTTGTCATTGCTACCTTAAATTTCAATTTTAAAAAACCAATGCCACAACGCCCTTTATTGTATCGGGATTACAAACAACTTGATACACACGAATTTGCCCATTTGCATTTGCATTCGCTGCCATTTCACGATATATTAAATAAACATGGTGTAAATGATAAACTAAACTATTTTAATAATCTTCTATGCCATCTGTTTAGCGTTCGCGTTCCCCTTACAACTAAAATCTTCATCGCCATGGGTCTCCGAGAACACCAAAATATTTAATGAAGCTAAGAGATACCTAGGTAAAGCTCTGCGTAAAAGTAGGAAGTCGGGAAATCCACAACACAGGCAATATTATAAATCTATCCGGAATTATACAAATCTTGTGGTTCAAATAAAACCTCAACTATAAATTGTGCAAACAAATTCAATCAGTGGCGTCAATTTTATGGTAGCGGACTCTGTAGCGGATTGATCCATAAGAAAAATATTGAAATCCCGTCACATATGCAAACGCCGAGGAAATAAATTCGTTTTTTATTAATTTTATACCTACTTTCAATGGGACCGTTGATAGAACGATAGAATCGTATAATAAAACCAAACTTGTTGCTGGTAGGGCTGATTTCGTGTTTACAACCGTTACTTGCGAACAAATACATAAAATTATTTCAAACATAAATACAAATGCCTCTGGAGTGAATAATCTTAACATAAAATTAATAAAGCAATGTTGTCCATTTATTATTCCATACATTACCCATCTGGTAAACACTGCCATCTTAGAGTGTGACTTTCCATCCCTATGGGAAATAGCAATAGTAAAACCTATTCCAAAGACTGCAAATGTCGAGTTCATAAGAATAAGAATGCATAAATGATTGTATTTGAAAAGAAAGAGGTGGCTGTAAGTAGTAGTATGAAATGAATGTAATTTTGAAGGATAATAAAAGTCATATTTAGAAAAGTAAAATCTGTTTTAAACGCAACATTATTGGCGACCGTGGTGAGATTGAATTGTATAGAAAAATCCAAAGTACCCACATCGGAAAATGGATGTAGAAAAATTGAAAAAGAAACGAGCTGTTCTGAGGAGCAATGCAACGAAGCTGATGAATAAAATGTTAGATACAGAAGTACCTGTGGTGGAATTAAAAGCGAAACTTAATATGTTGAATGATTTGGAACCCGAGATCAACATTCTCAATGAAAGAATCCTGGATATGATGTTAGACGATTTGGATAACGAAAAGGAATGCGAGGATGAAAATTATCGTTGTCACATCATAACAGAAGAAGTACATAAGTGTCGTATTATAATAGAACAAAAAATATCGATATGTTCACTACAAACACAACGTATAAGCAATGAAGATGGTCATAGTGGTACTGTAAAGAGTGATGGATCTGGAAAGATCAATAATTTTAAGTTGCCTAGATTGACATTAGAAAAATTTGATTTGGCACCAGGTAACTTTTTATCGTTTTGGTCACAATTTGAGAGAATACACAGCAGTGAAGATCTTGATAAAACTACTAAATTTATGTATTTACGCATGAGTTTACTAGGGTCAGCTAAGATACTGATGGACACATATCCTAACACTGCCGCAAACTATGATAAAGCTGTAGATCATTTAAAGAATAGATATGGAAGAGATGAATTAATTGTTCATGCTATATATAAAGAATTGCTCGCTTTAGTCCGGAGCAGACCATCATTATCAAAGTTAAATGATGTCATATCAGCGAAAATTAGGAGTCTTGAGTCCTTCGGTTTCAATAGTGAGAGAACCGCATTATTAGTTCCTTTAATCGAAGAATGTCTGCCGGAGGAAACGCTGATACTATGGGAAAGACGTGAGTCAAAATCAAATGAAAATAAATTAGACGAATTGATGAAGTTCCTGAGTAAAGAAGCAGAAACCTATGAAAGAATACAAAACTGTAAGGTCGAGTCTTCACCGTCGAAGAGTACTGCTGCTGCGTTAGTCGCTGTACCTCAACAAAAATCAAAATCTGAACAATCTCGACCTGTTACATGTGTGTTTTGTTCAGAATCTCATTTTAGTCAGAATTGCAAGAAAGGATTGTCTATTGAGGAGAAGCAGAAAATTGTGAGTAACCAAAAACTTTGTTTTGCTTGCTTGCGTCCCGGGCACTGTCGGTTTCAGTGTCGTAAGTATGTTAAATGTTCTAAATGTAATCAAAAACATTACGATATTATGTGTGTTCCACGTACTCCTACAACTGCGGTTAAGGAGACACCCACTTTAGTGGCTTGTGCTGACAAGCCAATGGTTATAATGCAAACTCTCGTTTGCTACGTACACACAGGTCAACTTATTCGCGTATTGTTAGATTCTGCATCCCATAGGAGCTATATAACCAAACGTTTAGTGCAAATAATTAAGCCAAATTTAATAGGACAAGACACTTTCAAACACATGTTATTCGGAGGACAAATATCCTCAGAGATAGCGCACAATCTTTATGAAATTGAACTTATAAGTTTAGGTGGTAATAAGAGGTTTAAAATGAAGGTCCTTGATCAAGAACAGATTTGTGGAACAATTGACACTGTCAATTGTGAAATGATTGAGGAAATAAACCAGCTAGGCATAATTCTAGCTGAAGATGGAGTAAATCGACCCGTTGACATACTAATTGGAGCAGACACAATTGGAAGTTTCATCACAGGAATGAAACTTATTAACGAAACATTAATTGCATATGAAACCGTATTGGGATGGTGTCTTTTAGGTACGTCATCGATGTCCACAACGACGATGACAAACTTTATATGTTCGCTGGTTTCACACCCTGAGTCTTTATGGGATTTAGATGCATTGGGTATTGAAAAGCCTAATGTGACACATGACAGTAATGAATTAGCGATCTACTCATTCGAACAAAATATAGAATTTATCGAAAATAGGTATTATGTAGCCATTCCATGGTCCGAAGGTCATCCTACATTACCTACTAATAAAGGTTTAGCTGAGACTCGATTGAATTCTGTTTTGAAACGATTGGTAAAAAATAACTTGTATGATTTGTATGACAATGTATTCAATCAGTGGCAAGAAGATGGAATTATAGAAAAGGTAAATAATAATAAGGATATTGGACATTTCTTGTCACACCGCCCTGTCGTGAAAGAGGGAAAAACAACAAAGATTAGACCGGTGTTTGACGCATCAGCAAAATGTATAAACGGTGTTTCACTTAATGAATGCATTGAAACGGGACCCAATTTAATAAGTGAATTGATGCCTCTTCTACTCCGATTCCGACTATATGAAATTGGGGTGATAGGTGATATTAAACAAGCATTCTTAATGATTGGACTTGGGAATGAGTCTGACAAAGAAATGTTGAAATTTTTTTGGTACCGTAATGGAGAAATTATTACATTTAGACACTGTCGAGTCGTCTTTGGTCTCGTGGGCGCGGCTCACTTTCCCAAATCGCGAAACTTGTGTGACTATGAACGGCAACTCTAATAGTCTTTTTCTATTTCGGTGTCACAATGATGATTTTGTACAACTGTTTTCGGCCGAAAACAGTTGTACAAAGACAGTGATTATAGTCGATTTTTTTTGGTAACTCATCTCTTAAGTTGGCAGTTACTAGTTAGTACAAGTAGGTACTTCGTTGGGTACTTCCAAGGTTAGTAAAGTTAATAGGTTGCATGGTAACTTTCGGCCAATAGGGGACCACGAGCGTGTGACGTAACTTTGTGCAAATCCATTTTAACAGCTAAACACTGATTTTCAAAATTTTAATTAATTCCTCCAGTTTTGGATATTTTCTTCTGTGTTGCGAGTTGCGATGTGTGGTTATGAACATTTACATCAAAGTTGAAAGTGGGAGTATGTTTCCTTTTACTCCTAAATTGTTATAAAAAATAAAAACAAAGCCGTTAAATGACGTTTTTTATAAAGTTCTATGCCTATTACCTTTTAGGATATGTCAAATTGCTAACAAAGTGTCGTAGTTTCTAAAAAAAACACTACAGACAGGAAATGGTTTTCTGACCACAAAGGCTAGTGTAATTTATGAAACAAGACTTACGAATACATAAAGCAATTCTACCCGAGTACCAGCACCGAATCCTCTTTTCCTGGCATATTGTAAAGTATGAGAAAGTGAGCGTTCACATATGTGAATCACAGTCGGGTAACTGATCACATGTTAAATAAATACTAATAATCCTAATCAGATAAACTACTTCACAGTCGGTAAGTAATCACTAGCAGATTTAGTCTTACATTATCCTTATTCAAACGCCTGAATTCCTATCTATTAATCATTAACTACGGTCTTATCTTATCTAATTTACAAGATTGTTAAATAAGTACATGTTATTCTTAATAATTAATTAATTAATAATTCAGTACTTCACTTAATGTACAGATTAAAATTTATCATTATTTTGTCAAACATTATTAATTAGTGACTATAGTATAAAATTTAAAAGTTAATAATAACACATGAAAGCACAAATACAAAAATTAATTAATAGTTTTCCTTATTTTACATTTTCTTTTTCTTTCAGCACCTTCAGAACTTCTTTTTCTATCAGTACATTCTCTTTTTAAATTTAGATATTTAATTCTAATAAAAATTCTTTGCTTCGAAAATGATTTCACTAATTCATATGGAACATCTATTTTTTTCTTTTGCAATTTTTTGATAATGTAGTTTGTTGTCCTTTTAATAATTATTTTACCTGGAGAAAAATTATCTTTGTGGAATTTAATAAAGTAAGTTTCCATAACTTGCATCTGACGCATCCACTCAGCCGATGGCTGAATCAGACCCCCGAACGATAGACTTTGTACCCATGAGGGCATGGCGTAAGAATGTAAATTAAGAGCCTCTTCATCTTTGTAACTGTGCCCACCTAGGTATGGGTATTTATGTATAAATTTCTTAGCAATAAATCCTGCTAAATATTGAGTACCATCATCTTCCACCCAAGATTTTCTTAATGGGGCATCAGAAGCAGTACTCTCCGAACTGAAGCTTTCATTGAGTTCGGTTTCTTCAGTACTAGATGGTTCTGTTACCACCAAATTTTTAAGTTGGGCCTGCTTGACAGCAGCAGCCATCAAGTACTCTCCATCCATTTCCTTTGGTATTTCAACATTGGAATGCGTTTGGACCATTCCTGGATTTTTCCCTAATAAAATCATCCGTACCCGGTAAATTGCACACTGTGACGTCATTCGTACTTCGGCCCCCCTCTCTTCGTTATGGTTGCTAGTAGTTACCATGCAACCTATTAACTTTACTAACCTTGGGGTACTTCCATGTTTGAACTTCAAAATGTCAGTCTTACTACGCTGCCAACCTAAAACTTAACGGCATAAAAAGTGTTCCCAACATAAAACATGTTAGTTCTAATGTTCCCTATAGTTTCTGATAATGATTTTTTTAATTAAATTAAAGCACCGAAATAGAAAAAATAGTATGAAAAACATGAAAAACGCGTGTTACAATGCTTTATTGTAAAGGCCGCTTGACATGGAGCAATACAACGCGCAAGAACTTGCAGAAAGAAATTGCAAGGTCAAATCCTTGCATGCAATAAGAATTGCATGGCATTTGACATGGTGCAATTCTATTTCAATTGCCACATGTCTGCCAACAGAAGAAAAATATGAATTTGTCAACAAAGTTGCTAACCTCAAATAAAAATGAAATTTTGACTGCTTGAAGAAACATGAAAATTACAAGAATAAATAAGATTAATAAAAACAAGTAATGAGTGCGTCTCTAAGCATCATAGTTGCCGCCGCTGTGTTTTACTAGGTTGGTGACACAAAACCAACTAGATTTATCCCTAGAATTGCGCGATTCATGCAAGAAAAATAGCACCGGTCCTATAAAAATTGCATGCAAGTCTCTTGCAGCAATTGATCAGCTGGCTTTGAACTGCGCATGCCTTTCGCAATTTTTCTTGCAACTTGCATGCAATTGCAATTTTTATTGCTCCATGTCAAGCGGGCTTAATACTCCTATCTTGCGGACACTCGTGGCTACGCTTCGCGTCGCCACTCGTGCCACAAGATCAATATACTATTATGATGAAGAGCACTCGGTAAGATTTTTTTAAAGAGGCCATGTGAGGCCATAGCAACTTTAGGATACATTTTTCTTAAACTTACAATAACTTGACCTCACAGGGCACGCGCTGACACCACAACTCATTGTGAACCAACCTTCAATTATTTGTAGGTCATGTGCACCTGGTATTCTACTAATTTGATCTATTCAATACATAAATCAAGAAAATAAGAAAAGAAATACCGAAAACAATTACAATAAATGTTCAAAGTGTCCTCCTTGACATTCTAAGCAATAACCTAACCGATTTCGTAATTAAATTGGACGGCGCTATTTTTAAAAATGTGACAGCTGTTAATTGTATCTACTACTCATTTGAACTACTCGATAGATTGATGTGTTTTTTTAAATCGAACGTAGGGAAATTACATTGCATGCAAACTCCTATGTTCGCATTTAAAAAAATTCACTGTATATAATAAACAGTTATTTGTCTTTTACATTATGACGTTATTTTTTACAAGTAAATGATGTATTTTTAATAAATCTGTTGAAAGTAACCTCAAATTTGAAAGTCAGGTTCAAACAAACGGCACTAACTGTAACGATAAAACAATCGGTTAGTTAAAGTGGGGTGTATATTTTCGTGGCTAGGTTGAATCATACTGTAAGTAATTAATTATTCGTCATCATTTAACAAGATTCATACGTTGCTTTGGCAAGATATATGGAATACACAAAGAAATAGGTAAGCCTGTCGTAGACAAATATTTGATAAGGGTATCGGTCCCCCCTCTCGCATTATAAATTCATTCGTATACAGCTATACGCTTCTTTCGTATTTTCTCGCCTTATATTACAATCTTTGGGGAAGAAGCAAATCCCCCCGTTTCCGGCGATACAAACGAGATTTATATTTCAAAAGATGAGAGCATATGTACATTGAAAACTCCTTCAAAGTACCTTTAAACTTATTTGATATATTAAAGTTGTGGAAATTCTACGGATCGAGACAGATCTCTGTACGTAAGGTAGGAAGTATGGGCTATTGAAACCCTGAAAGTGAAAGATACGACTAGATTAGATACCACTAACTTTTCAACTTCATACGAACTTTCGAAGCTTTAATAAAGTTAATGTTAGTGACGTGAACAATGTAGAAGGTTACTCGAAGGGTTTCTCCTTTATTCAGTTCCTAAATTAACGACATGCAGTTTCTTTATTAGTGCAAAGTCGCTGATCATATTATGAAATAATGTATTATTTGGGTTCTCAAAAGTACGTTGATAACTTGACGAAAGAAACCCTTGCATAATTTAATTACGCTATGCTTTACACGTATTTCCTTAATGTGCTGTGAAATAAATAATTAAACTTTAATTTGCAGTTCGGATACGTAATTGTTATCATGGAATTGAATTCTTTGTATGCGGATTGATTTCAGATAATATTGGAGGGTGTAGAATGCCTTGATAGGTATGAAAGGTTAATACGAAGTTTGTAAAAGAAATTCAATTTGTGCGCGTTAAGTTTGTTGTACGTTTGTTATAAATTGGAGTTATTCACGTATAGAACAACCCTGTTTAAAATTAGAGTATGATTTTATGTTTTATGTATAGAGAGCGTAAGTGACAATTTGAAGCCGCTTTGACTTACGGAGGTAGGTAACGGTGCAGCGACTTTTTAAATTGTAACCTGAGTGATCAATTTCCGAATATTGTGTGCAAAGTACTCCAGCCAATTGGATTTCACTTAACTGCCAACACAATATTATAAAAAATAATATATAAATACATTACACAAATATTTAATCGACACACCAATAAAACAGCATAAGTATAAAAATCGTTAAATATTGTATGATTTGTGCCGTCTTCTTTTTGTTTAATTTATACTCTAGCATCGTAATTGCTGATTATGATGATAATTTTCAGCCACGACGATATAGGTCGACCATAGATTGTATTTCGAGGACTTGAATGACACAAAACTGGATAAAGTTATAACACACTTAGCTTCACAAACGAAGACAGCGTAAAGTTCAAAAACTCGGCGTCCAACCTTATTCAATGTAAATAATTGCATACACCCATTAACTTTTAACACAACTGTTCATTTTATACAGAAATAATGCCTAACACTAAAGATCAAGAAATTGTACGCAAAGAAAAAATCTGGACAATGTTATCAGTTAAATAAAAGCAATAATTTATATCTGCTCAAAGTGTCATTTGGAGCGGAATCTCCAATCGACGCAGATCGACATTTATAAATTTTAAACCGTTGCTTATACCGACTTTATACAATATAATACTCAATTTTATTCGTTTATTCACCACGTTGATTGGTCGAATATCAATATATAAAAATGTTAAAGTTCTTAAGTATCTTCTCAAATAAATATTGTTCATGATAATGTATCCAATTTATC